TCTATTAGTATTAGACTCTATTAGTATTTGACTCTATTAGTATTAGACTCTATTAGTATTAGACTTTGAGTATACTTTGAGTATTAGTATTAGTATTAGTATTTGACCTACATTATTTCTGAACTTTATTTTGAAGGGGAAAAGGACAGGATGCAAAGACCCGGATGTGACCCTCTTAGGTTTGTTGCTAATGCTAATGGCCCCGGAACGGTAAAGAAGCACTCCGAAGATGGCCGGGGTGTTTGAGGTGGAGGTTGATGGTGTGGAGCACGACCATGGACTGGAGCATCATGGTGAACCCAACCAGGTGAGAGTAACGTGCCACATCGAGGTAACGTTATTATGACCGATAAAACAGACGGTGAGCTTAAACTGGGGGTGCTAGCTGTGTTAGCTCACGTTACTCCTCACGGTGTTAGCCCACCGTGAGCCGCTAGCAGCTCTTAGCAGTCTGTTACAAGCGGAGGTTTCCACTCCAGAGTGAATGCATCGTCCACTGAACAAAACTCACCGTGCTTCGTTCGTAAACAACAGGACGAGCGAGAAACGCCCCGAGAGCCTGTTAACAGCGCTAAGCTAGCTGGCCTGTCTACCGTCAAGTAACGAGTCAAGTAACGAGTCAAGTAACGAGTCAAGTAACGAGAGTTACTAGTGTCTTTAATCTGGTTGAAGTTGTTCGGGTGTGTACAAAAGAAGTTAGCATTCGTTGTAGTTGTTCCACAGCCATGTGTTCACTGCTGTGTTTATAAACGTCCACTTGTTTTATTTATTGACTACAAATACAGCTGATGTGGCTGATCGGGTCAAAGGTCACGTATTGCCCTTGTCCTGTAGTCGGTATTAAGGCAGGGGAAGCAGCCGAACCACTTCCTGTGGACAGGTCTCAAGATTAAAACCTCACTGTCCACCACTCTGCTGTAACTGTCCTTGACTTAACTACACTTGTCCCAAATTGAATGTAATTAATATAGTTCAATAACTCACATCACTTCATTGACTCACTCACGACTATAATGGAAGTTCTGCTTCTTGTTCCCTGAATAAAACATTTACTCCCTTGTGTTGTGTTTGGCCACAATCAGTGTCATTGGTTGAGTTATGTGTGTCTTTCTGTTTGCTCTATAAATGATAAATAATCACTGCAAATGCAAACCTGTTTCTGATTGATGGATTCAATGGAAATGTACACACACACACACACTTTGAACTATTTAATTATGTTTAGACCAAATGCTCACACACTCACTACAGCGACATTGTATTGTAAAACAACATCTACAAAGGGAAGGAGATGATCAAACCAACTATTTAAATATTGCAAGCTCAAACAAACTGTTCACATATAAACTGGAGGGAAAAGCCTAATCCAGAGATCCTGAGAGAAGGTTAAACCAACTATATACATATTTACAAACTATAGGAACACCCCAGTCTAACCCGGGAGAGACAGTTGCATTTCACATGTCAGCAGCACGGACAGACATTCAAACAGCATGTTTCAGAAGGATGAGTTAAAGGGCAAACTCAAACAGTAAAGTGTGGTGTACTTAGCAGGATGTGTGATCTGAGTAAGAACTGGTTGTTTAGCCCGTAGCCAGCCTTTATTCATTTGCCTTTTCAACACATAGAAAGCCTTTAATAACGAGAACATTGGATCAGTTCTTGCTGCCTGCATTTAATTTCCATCATGTTAAAGTAGCTGAACAAGCCCAACAACTTGACAGGGAGTGTAACTGCTTAACAAACTAGGTGCGTTTTAACAATTGAATTCTTCGTTAAATATTTATATTTTGGGGGCGTTGCTTTACTTTGACACATTAATTTCATCTTGCTGCTCAACCAAACTTAAATGTTTTCATTCAAATAGTTCTAGTGGCTCTGTCATTAGTATGCAGCATACGCTCTAGGGCTTTAAAGCCAACTGTGTGAGAGGTGACGCTCGACACAGTAGTTTGATGTCACTTGTTTTCAGTAATCTTTCTGTTTCTGTCCTTTTTTACATCTTAAATAATTCTTACCGTAATACAAATCATCATCAAGTGTAGTAGAGAAAATGTTCTGTGAACACGAAGAACAATGATATTTCATACGTAATAGTTTTAATTATGTATGTCGTTCTCTCACCAGTTCAATAGTTTTAAGGCTTCTCTGTATAGTGAATTCACATCCATTGAAGAGGAGAATATGAGTGTGGGTGTAAAAGAAAATAAATATACAGAATGTAAAAATAACTTGATGAAAAACTTCTCCTGGCCATAAACCTGCTATAGCAGATCACAGAGGACAGTGAAACCCAGATAATATTCCCCTAGGTGGCTCATATATCAGACATGAAAACAAAACGAATGACGCACAGCTGAAATGATAAGAGATGAGGGGTCAATGTGCGGATGTAATGAGAAGTCCTGGGCAGGTGATCTGGGTGGAATGTCCCGGGACAGTAGAAGATTGAGTCTTGTTGAAGATGGGAAAGTTGTGGCCTTCACTACTACTTCACTACTCATAGTTTGACATATGCTCCTCAAAATGCCTAAGCTAGGATTTTATTATTAGTTTGTTCAGCTTCTCATCTGGTGTCAACAGTAATTGTCATAATTTTGTCTTTTCTTTTCTTTAGTTCGATTTGTCCAAACTTTCACCAGAAGAGAAGTGGAGGTTCGTATTATTGCAACATGTTTAATGAAGCATTTATTTCTGTGATATAAATGTTTTTTATTATATTATATATATATTTTTTTCCTTGTGCAGAGTTACACCTGAAATGGTTATTATTAAATAATACATGTGGTTTTGGTAAAGAAAAGAGCTCCATACATCCTAAGTGAGAACTTTTAGATTGGGTACAGGAAGTTCTTTGCACTCACTACTGACAAATGAAAAACCAAACCAAAAAATAATTAAATTAAATAAATAGTTTTATCTCTTTTGTGTGATTGCTGTAAGACAATCACAGTCTGGCCGGGTTGGTCTCTCTGTTTACAGTAACATTTTAGGATTTCTTGGTATTATTGTTCACGTTTCAAACAGTTCACTGTCATTGCCATTAGGAGACACCATTGTGCAAACCTATAATGGCACGCCCATCCTGCATTCCTATGAATCAAGTGTCTCTATTAGCTATGTTACATTAGTTAAGTATGTTCTCCTTTTTCCACAGGGTGGAGCATGCAAGAATGCATGCCAAACACAAAGGCCATGAGGCCATGCACGCAGAGATGGTGCTCATCCTCATAGTTACCCTTGTCGTCGCCCAACTAGTCCTTGTGCAGTGGAAACAGAGACATCCAAAGTCATACAATGTAAGAAGTAATAAAATGTTTGAAGCTCTTCATGCCAAGTTTGAAGTTACCACCAATGAAGACACATTAAAAGATTTGCATGTTTTGGATACAGATACAGTTAATTTGAGAGCTGTGTGTGTTTGAAGTGATGGTGAAGGAGTGGATAAGAGAACATGTACTAGCACACTCTTACCGCTGACAAGTCTGCCTTTTCTTTTCTTTTCTATCCATGTGGCGGCATATGACTGTATTAATATTAGTTTGCTCTAACAAGGAGATCTATGGTGTTTTTTTTTTCTTGTCTTAAACTATCTAAATATAAAATATTGTTACACTGTGTGGTGTTGGTTCTAACACGTACGCTCTGCTGTCTTGTAGCTGGTGACTCTGTTCCAGATGTGGGTAGTTCCACTCTACTTTACTACCAAACTTCACTGGTGGAGGTTCCTGACCACCTGGTTTATCTTCTCTGTCATCACAGCATACATCTCCTACCGAGCCACTCGCAAGCCACTGGCCTGCACCACACCGCGGTACTGTATAGCCATTGTTTACTCTCAACCATATCCTGTAAATTAAGAGCTCTTCCTTTCCATTAGTGCCGACTGAGCTGTCCACTGACACACTGTAACATGTTCCTTCTCCTTGGCTTTTGTAGGTTGGTGTATAAGTGGTTCCTCCTCCTCTACAAGATCAGCTATGCCACAGGAATAGTTGGCTACAGTGTTGTCATGTTTACACTTTTTGGTATAAACCTAATATTCAGGTATGTATCATCTCTGTGTTGCTAAATGAACCACAGCCATAACCCGAAATGTCAGTGGATATTGATTTGTGCCACTGGAAGTAAAGATCCTTCATACTGTAGGCTGCTCTTGACTTGCCATTGATTTCTATCCCAAAAGTTCAGTGAAAATCAGGAGTTTCTTGCTGCTCTCCGTCCCACACGTTGCACTTGGCTGCCACTAGATGATGTTGTTTTGCCTTTTTCAAACCCTGTTTGGTCGTTACTGCTCCCACAACCATTCATCTGAATCTTTAATTGATAGCTGCTTTAATCTTCCATTTTTTATTTATTTGGTTGCCTGCCTTTTTAATGCATTGAAGCACTACACATTTGAGCACCCACCAGGGTCAGAATTTGACTGACTATATCAGAAATAAGAGCAAACAACACTCTTACTGCCCACTCTCATGGTGTTTACATAATCCATGGCGGATTTCAGGTGGGCGTATTTAAATGTAACAAGTAAAGTAAACATGTGATAAGTTTAAAAATGCATTTTCACTGTAAGCTCTATTACTATGACTATGACGTACAAACATACAGAGTTATTACAGAAACTTCCATTTAGATGAGGAAATGGCATATGTCTCTTCTGTCTGTTTCTAGTGGGCAGAGAGAGCAGAAAGAAGGCATTGACGTTCTCTGCTTCAGACACGTAGTTACAGGAGGAAGTGGAAGTTGTTCACTTTTAGCTGAATTTAAGACTATTTTAAGTTTTATGGTAACACTCTGGGCTGATTTAGAGTTTTGAAACTTGGTATACTGTATGTATTTCTTTTGCCTGTGTTTCCAGTATTGTGTTAGTTGCTTTTATGCTGCTGTCTTGGCCAGGTCTTATTTGCAAAAGGAGGCTTCTTATTTAAGATAAAGAGTAGATAAAAAAAACAAATGTTTGGCTTCTGTGGTTGGCCGAAATCAGATCAACTGTGATGAAATTAAAATCCACAATCAGTCACACACTCACTAAAGCCTCTGAATGAACAAAGGGCTGTTGTTTCCTTTTACAGGTTATGTAGCTACTTCGCAGTCAGTTAACTTATTACCAAGGAACCTTTTAACAAGATCTCTTATTGTTACATTAGTTTAGTGGGGTTGCACCATCTAATTGATTCAGCGTCACAGGTCATTTATTCCTGTTTTCTAAGTTATAAATTGTTACATAAGCGTCATTTCTTAAGTCCAAAGTGGGACTTCTTCATTATCATCTTCTCAGTTGATGTTACCGTGGGCTGTTGGATTGTGTACGCCAGTGATCCTTAACCTTAGGGACTGTTTAAATTTCCCTTTTATTTCATCAAGTTAGCCCAAAGTATAAGGATGACTAATCTGTTCATAAGTTTCACTTCACTGTTAATCTGCCAATCAACAGTGTAGAAAGTTATGAAATAACTAAATCTTTCTGAGACTACATCTTCTCAAATACTGGTCCGCGGACCAGTATTTGCGGACCTGATGTGTATCACTTGTCTTTCTTGCAATTTCACGGTCTTGTGTGTAATGTTAACTTTGCTGTAGACTAAAAAAATATAAAACACACACACTGTTTTATTAACATAAAAAATAAGCGTTGATGTAAAGTACTGTCTGAGCCATCATTCCCATACAGTGCCTTCTCTGTCCAGGATAAAGCCAGAGGATGCAATGGACTTTGGTGTTTCACTGCTGTTCTACGGGCTGTACTACGGGGTCCTAGGAAGGGACTTTGCAGAGATGTGTGCAGACTTCATGGCTTCAACTGTTGGGGTAAGTAGACGGCTGCAGACACTATGTTTCTTCTGTGCCCTGTTGAAGGTAACGGCTGTAAGCTAAAATGTAATTGTTACTGTTTCCTCTCTCTTTTTTTTTGGATTGTTTTTAGTATTACAGTGCGTCCGGCATGCCAACCAAGCACCTCTCTGACAATATCTGTGCCGTGTGCGGTCAACCCATCCTCGTAGATGTCAGTGAGGAGGGGATTATTGAGAACACGTACAGATTATCCTGCAACCATGTGTATCCTTACTCGACATAAACACGCCGCTACCTCTTATCAGTGAAAGAGAAGTTCAGCTGCACGATGGAGTTTTTCCATTTCTATAAAGGTGTACTCGTGGCTTTGTCCTCGAACTTTACCATGTACTCAATCAGCAGCTCAAAGGGGAATTAATTGGTAGAGTCAACTTGACCTTTATGTTGGGCTGTTTATGTTTTGATAGTGTGTTCGTTGAACGCACCGTACTTCCTCCATTATGTTCTGCTGTAAATAACACGCAACCTCGTGTCACAGTGTTGTTTGGTTTGGATATTTGCCATACCCAGATTTATATTCTATTTATCTACCATTTAGTGTTAAGCTTGCTGGTTTTCTGTTTTCAAACCTTTCAAGCACCTGAATCGAATCACAATTGAATTAATTGCATGCTGTGAGTAATAATTATAGAGCCCAAATCACTTAAGATTAACCACATCATTGACCGGTATAGGTTTGTTGCTAATAACTTTCTTAGCAGATTGAAAAAAACATTACATTATTGTAGACTGCTTTTCTTATTTGATGGATGTTTTACATAATTCTGGTTTTATATATTTTGTTTTAGTTATTCTTGCTGTTACTGTCAAATTTGATAATAAATTGTTAAACTGCAAAAGGGCATGCCAAACAGTTAACAATTTTATAAACATTGTAGCAATTTTATATATATTGTTTTTTTGTACTCAAACCAAGTAATTTTCTATCCTTACAACACAGGACTGTTTTATTGAACCATTTCCTTACATATTAACTGAAATGGATTTTTACTTATTTTCTTTGTCTTTTTTTCCTTTGTTTAAATTAGGCTGTTTCAAGTGGATGCAAACGGTTGATGCACATTTGCTACAAATATAATACGTTTTCATACTGTGTCGAGCCTTAACTCCCCACCCAGGTTCCATGAATTCTGCATAAGAGGATGGTGTATTGTCGGAAAGAAACAGATGTGCCCGTACTGCAAAGAGAAGGTGGATCTGAAGAGGATGTTCAGTAACCCGTATCCTTTTTTCATTGTCATTCTCACACATGAGCCTTACCTGTTGTCTTTTTTTCTGTTATGCATTATTCCACAGTTTCTCACTGAATATCCTAACGATTCCTGAGATAACTGGTGTAATGCCAGAGATCATAAATATTAATGTGCAATGTGCTTGCACAATAAAAATGTCGACACCTAATGGAGGAGGACAGAATCTAAATTGGACATTTTCACACACAACGTCCAGGAAACCCAGTCATACACAGTCATGCCAAGTAACAGTAGAAAGACGTTTTTAAAACGGGAAGTTTCGACAGTAAAGTTTAGCTGGATTTTTCCGGCAGCTCCCTGCAGGCTATTTGGAACAAGATATTTAACATTTATTGGTTGTATACCAAGTTCCTGTTCCTTTTTGTGGTTCAGAGCAGTACCCTTCAGACAACTGTATCCACTGAAACACTGTCAAATGAATAATGCCCTTTAGACTCTGGAGTCTTTTAAGGCTTTATATTGTCACCCACTGTCACTCATTTATTAGCCAGTTTTGATTCCTGTTGAAGGTTTTTATCCTTAACCTATTTTCTTTTAGCTGGGAGAGGCCACATGTCATGTACGGACAACTTTTAGATTGGCTTCGGTACTTGGTGGCCTGGCAGCCCGTTATTATTGGATTTGTGCAAGGTATCAACTACGTCCTGGGTCTGGAGTAACCTGCGACTGGACACGCCATACGGAGAAGATATGCACTGGCTCAAAGGACTGAGGGCCTAACATTGAACTAAAACACCAATAAAAAGTGTCTATACTTTTTGTATATATTTATAGGCACACATTATCTGTATTTACAGTTTATTTGAATTTTATTGGTAATCTGAATTTGGATGTCTGTGTCATATTCCCAGGATTTAATTGGTTTGTGCATCTTATGGCCTAGTAAAACGATTGTCGAAATCATTAGAGAGGTGCTTTTTACTAATTTATGTCTTCAGTGTTTGTTAACACTTAGTTAAAGGATCTTGCTGGAGTTTTTCATCCTCATGTCTGATGGCTATCACACATGAATAATAAATATTGAATGGAAATAACAAAAATAATCGCTCCCTGTGCCTCCCAAAATACATAAACACAGTATCCACAGGCGTCATTTCACCACTGCATCATTTAATGTGCACTGGTGCTGCGGTTTGACCCCATATTTTGAACTCTGTTGACAGTTTCCTAAGCACCAACAGTCATGCGTCATGTGAGAAGAGTAGTCATCATGGGGAAAGAAGTGCTAATCGCTCTTAAACAGAGGATTCCTCTCACAGCGCTTGTTACGATGGAACTTTTAATGTTACTGGATTTCAAAATGTCCTCGTTGTTTTCATGGACACTCATCCTTATCAACTGGCCAAACAGTCCTGTTTACTTTGACAATAACCCCTTCTGAGATAACTCACTTGATTAGGTTTGTATGATTTGAAGTGGAGGCACAATTGACTGTATGTATGTAAAGGGACAGTTCACCTAAATTATTCAAACATTTTCTGACCTGTAGTTGTATCTAGCCACGCTGATAGTTTTGGTTTGGCTCTGCCAGCTGTTTTCTTTGGAACTACTTTCTACCAAAGAAATAGTACCTGTGAATCTGTTGACGGTTATTCAGTTTCTGGGGTGACACATTGCTGTTGACATTTTTAAATTACATTTTTAAATGCTGTGAGCATGACTAACAATTCACCTCTGTTGTATTGCGGTACAGTTTAATAAAGCCATGCCAAATAAAACCCAAACTATCTGTATGGCTAGATACCAGTCAGAAAATATATATTTTTCCTTTAACTTTGGTGAACTTCTGTTCTGAAATGAACCCTGGAAGCACAAACCAAAGCTACGATATTGCTTAGTAACTTAACTAAAACCACTGACTGCTTTAAATTTGACCTCCCAGAATGATCCTTTAACTCAGTAAGAATGCTGATGGCTCGAGTCTTACTTTTATGTGACCTGTTCCGGTCCCTTGTATGTGGGTTTTCTAGTCCAAAGTTGCTGGAAGGTGATGGTGGGTTTTTTGCAGGTACTGGTCACAGTACACGTCTCATAACACCAACTGTCTTTTACTTGAACCTGTCTACCAATTCACACAGTAAAGGGACTTTGTACAACAAGGCTAACGTGATCATTTTGTTTTATTGTCAATGTTTTTGATCAAGATCAGTTTAATAAATGTCACATGGTTCAGATTGTGTGTATACGTTTTGTCCGTGCACCCTCAAGGTTTCTCTTTCAACATTTAAAGCATTGTTCACTGGATGACATTACATATGGACACAATTGGGGTCACAAGAATGAGAGCTGTAAATTAGTCAGCATGTCTGATTTATGTAATCATAAAGTGTGTCAACAATCTACCAACAATATGAGTGGTCATGTTCGTGAGGAAATCCCCATTTTTTTCTATGTCTATGCATGTGTTAGTGTGGGCGAAGAGGAAGTGAATGGTTGCATATATATATAGTAATCCCAAGCAGCAGTCAACAGCACAAAGCCCTCACTGGAGAAAAAGATGAAGCTGGAATCTGTTGTCAAAGGTAATAACACTTATTTACTAATACCAACCATGTCATTTTCACTGGCTTATGACATTGGTTGTGAATATGTTGTATCTCTGCAACAGCCTTAGGATCTCTGTGTCTACTGCTTGCAGATGGATTTCCAGGTACAGTATGTTTTATGGCTGAAGACTTCATTTTTATGCATTTAGATTTTGTGCTAACCTTAATTTGTTTTACAGTTTCTGAGGATGAATCTCCAGAGATCATTGGGCCACATCGCGTCCAAATAAAAGCTCATCCAGGTAACCCTGCTACTAACTACTGTTAAGTGTTTTCTGATCGTCAGAGCTGACACAACCTGCTCTTGGGTGGATAGCTCAGGGGGATTCTTATTGTGAAGCTATTTTAAAGGGTTCCTGTACATATATTGAAGCTCTACTGTAATTGTGTATGAAGCTTCTGGATGTATTCGGCCTTACAGGAGAGCATCTGTTCCTTCACTGTGAAGCGTTTGCAAACTGTGAAGCTGATATGACAATCATATACTGGCTCGTCAACGGCTCTTTCCCCGAAGAAACGCCCAGCAGTGGCAGAATAGTGGAATCAGAGGAGTGAGTATTATGGGTTTTAACTTTACTGGAAATTAACCTAACAAAGCATAAAGTCTTTACATTTAGCTCTGCAGACAAAATAATGACTAATCCCGAAGACAACCTGTGGCTGAGCTGTAATGACTGTTTGTTTTAGAACCGCCATAGACGAGGGCACAATCCTACAGAAGAGTTTGCTGTTGAAGAACGTCACAAAAGAGGACCTCAAATCCACCTTCACCTGTGTTGTGACCAACGCAGCTGGAACGGACCAAAAGCACACAACGTTAGTGACATCACGCAGAGATTGTAATGCGGGAAAACACAAAAAACACTGAATGTTAACTGCAGTAAGAAGTGTAACTCTCTGAGCCATGTTTCACTTGCAAACTAACTGACGCTTAACATGAATCAGCATTATCTGTGAATTTACGATAATATGTTTTGTTTCTGGATATGGACGACGCTAAAGAAAAGCTGGATGAAGACATGTACTAAACTTGGCGTGCATTTGGTTCCACTATGGCACACTGTTTTCCTTTAATAGCTCCCCTTCAGTGGGACAGTGTTGAATTGTAAAGAGCAACTCCTGATTGTCTGGGAAGAAATAAATACTTAATGTGAAGCAAAACAACAACTGGAAAATATCTGTATCCTCTCCTAATATACATTTTCTGCAGCATTGACGACCCTCCTCTTGATCGAGGGAAACACAATGTCCAGCAGCAACATGTGGAACTAAATGCACCCTTGTTAAAACTGCATACATTAATTTAAATGGCTGACTGTACCAAACAAAGGCACTATTGACTGAATCTATTAAAATACTGTTAATTGTTGAGCTATTTGCTATTCCTGTGTATCATTGCAGTGTCTGCGTTTGCTGGCGATAAGCAATCCTAAATCTGTATACTTTTGAGCCATATAAAGATAAACTGTACTCCATACTGAGACAACAGTCAATCAATTCACTCACAAACTCAAGTGTGCAGTCCTGATTGAACCATGTGAATGTTTCCCTGGAGTTTCATTATTAATCATGTCATTTATTTCAAACAATGACCTCTTACCAGTGGGTATCAGAACTACAGGGATTAGAGTAGATACTTTTTTAGGATAAACAACAGAATTACTGATTATTGCATTGCACACCAAAGCATCAAAGCACACAGCCAACAAGCAATATTAATTGACACAGCTTAAATAATTAAAAAAGGAATTTAGGTTTTTAGCTCAGAACAATATTCATTGTCACACATGATATTGTTTATAAATGCAGTGAAAGAGTTTGTCATATTTTATTGTATAAAAACAGAAAAAATATATAACTGATAAGGCACTCGCAGACCTCCGCCAAGGCCAATTAGTCCAGTCGTGCTTCTGCTGTAGTCGTGGCACACCATTCACTTCAACTGTGAGGGGTTTTTGGCTTACCCAACAAACTCAGTTTGCCATAGACACCGGTGTAAAGACACTTAATGAAAAGTGAAAAATAACTTGTGTATCTGCTTGGCCCATGCTGCACCCTTCCACCAGGTTTCATGAACATTGGGGCCAGTAGTTTCTCTGTAATCCTGCTGACACACACGCATACAAACGGCACTAAAACCTTAACTCCCTTGGCAGAGGTAATCATATCATCCAGCTTCTATAAATCCATATTAACACACATTAAATCACATCATCCCCAAAAGTTTCCACATCTTTGGTACATCAGTTTAACTTCAGAAGTGATTATGTAAGGCTCCATTAGTGTATATGTAACGTGGAGATTCATAGAAATACAAACTTGTTTCTCCAACCATACAGACACACGTCTTAAACAGTTTCCTTTCAACTGGAATTCAGCGGACGGCGTTTTGACTTTGCACAGTGAGCGGTGTTGAATGCTTCCTCTTAGGTTCACACACCCAGCTCCTCCAAGCAGTGCTCCAAGCTGCTTCTCCTACCAGGATACTGATTTTCTTTGATCTTCTTCCTGATGAGGGCCGCAACATCTTCAATGGCTGCTGTCCACTTCACAGAAGAGCTGCAGAATGGTTGGAGGAGTTCCTGGTTGGTCGTGACCGCCATTCCGAACAGGAAACGCAGGAAAATGTCCAGCCTGCCGTCCTCGCACAGCAGGCTTCTGTCCACGGCGCTCTTGTACAGCTCCATCGCCTTGTGTCCCTTCAACAGGACCTTTAACTTGTGTTTCAGTTGCTGGTCAAAAATGTTCTTCCCGTGGTTCCTAAAAGTGAGAAACACATAAAGTGCAGCCAGGTACTCCTGCATGGTGGGGTGGATAAAGCTGAGGACTTTCTCTTGATGCAACACCATTGGCTTTGTGATGTATTGTGTGCACAGGCCACTGTTAGTCACCGCCTCCACGTCGTCGATTTCATGCTCTTTCCAGTCGTATCTGGCGATCTTGAACTGGCCTTGTTCCAGCATGCTGAAGGCCAACTTCCCAAGTTTCATGAGGAAATCTCTCTCTTTATCTGGACTGCGCTCCGGGGCTCTAATTGTGCGATGCTGACGTGTGAGTGCGAGGAGCAGCTTTGTGTACATGTAGGTGATGCTCCTGGGCAGCGCTGCCTGTGTCCCCTGGTTCCTAAATATGTGCTGGCACTCGGCAGCCACCAGTGAGCAAAACAAGGGCAGGTGGCACATGACGCGGAGGGTTTTGATAGAATTGATATATTTAATAACTTGAGCCGCTTGATCTGCGTCTTTAAATCTCTTCTGAAAGTACCCGTCCTTTTCGGAGTCACGGAAACCACGCACGTCTATCTCATCATAATGCGTATCGTAAGGAATGACGCGTTTCACTTGCGGCCGGGAAGTGACCACGTACAGGTCGCGGTAGAACAGCCTCCCTCTGAGGATGTTCACTATCAGGACATTCAGGCTGCCGGTATCTGAGAAATAACTGAGCGGCCCAGTGTTTCGAAAGTCGAGATCCTCATCGTACTCATCGAGACCGTCGAAGAGAAACATCAGTTTGCAGTCGTCGCTTTTAAAATCCTCATCCCTCAGGTTTTTTGTTGGTGGGTAGAGCGTCTGCATTATTTCCAACAGGGAGATGTTCGAACCCTCAAACTGTTTGAGTTCTCTGAACGGCAAAGGAAACAAGAAAGACACGTGTTGGTGGGACTTCCCTTCAACCCAATCAAGGATCAACCTTCTGAGCGCCATAGACTTCCCCGACCCGGCCACTCCTGTGATCAACATCAGCCTCATGGTTGAGTGCTCCATCCTTTCAGCGCACAAAATATCCTTAGTAGAAAGCGGTTTCCCGTCATCCTGGTTGCTGTCCAGCTTGTCTATCTTCATGACCTCGTGTTCAATATTTGGGCCAACATCACATGTTGAGGTTATGTAGAGGTCAGTGAAGATGTCGTCGAAGGCTCTCTTCTCTTCCTGCATTGCAAAATCCCCACAGACATCGGCGTACGTCCTCTTCAGAATCTCACATAAATCGTGACGCACTTCATCTGAAAAAAGAAAAACGGACATATAGATACGAGTAAGAGTCTCTCATTTGTTTCAGACAGTGACGGTGAACTGGGTGACATTTCATTACATCAGCGCAGTCAAAGTAAAAGCCACTGTTGCACTAGTATCTCCTTTGGCTTCGCTAAATATAGTATCCATCCCTTTTGTTGAGATTGAATTAATAGTAGCAAGCCATTAAGACATACAGGAGCCTACTTACTTCTGAGGCACAAAGTGTAGAGATAGTCTACCATCTTCTTTTGCCCAATATCCGCAAGAAGGGTCTTGGTGATCTGCAAAGATACCTCCAGGTTGTAACACTCGAGCAGCCGGTCCACAAGATCCACCAAATCCATGCCTTGGGGAGGAGTGTTGAATGACTGCGGGTAACGCTTCCACAGCAACATCTTGAATGTCCTGATGTCTCCCTTGGTAAGCTTCCCGAGGGTGTCACAAATAGCCTGGTTGCAAAAGAAGGACACAAATCAGTGCTGTCGGTTTCCACCAGAGGCTGTGTTTGTTTTAACTGATAGAGACAAAAGGGGAACATTAACTGACCTTAAAAGTGAATCCCACTGTCAGAGAAGGATGTCTAATCTGATTTGGGTCTTGGATTAACTCAGGTCTTTCAGAGGGCTCTGAGACGATGTCATCTTTGCTTTTAACCCTGGTGAGGCCACAGTGGAGATAAACACATTTTAATACACAGTAAACACACACAAAAACATGTAGTGCGATGCCATGTGTGGTTCTTACTTGGGGATTTTCTTTTCACAATCGTCACTGTCCAAGGAGTAGCAGCTAGAAAATGAATCTGCTCTGCTCAACTGGACCCTAAAACCAGGATGACAATAGATTTTGAATTATATTCAGTGTAACTACAACATGGCTTTACAGTTTTTCTTGGACACAATGAAAGCAACAAGGTAAAGGTACGTATTACATGTACACCTGAATACCTGGTAAGGCTGCTCAGTTAATCGAAATTTGATCATGATTACGATTTTGGGGCCAAACGATCTCAAAACTAATAAAATCGGGGGGAAACGAT